TTCCCTTTCTCCCTGGCTGTGTCCTTCCAGAGCCACTCTCGGGCTCTCCCATCGCTGACTTAATTCTTTCTAGGACCGGATGCAAAACCCGTTCAACAGCGCATTTCCTGCTTTTATGCAACCCGCAGGGGCACATGTGCACACACACCCGTGCACACCCCTTGTGCACGCAGTCACAAACGTGCATGTGTGGGCAAGTGCGTCACACTCACATGTACAAGCGGCCTCCGTCTCACACCTGCACCTTCCAAGATCCTTGTTTCTCCAGAGACAATCAGTAGATGGCTGGGGCTTTGCCACCCGCTGCTGCTGAAACCCTCCCACAGTTAGGATGTGCCTGGACTGCCAAGCCTTTGAGAGACAAACTTCAGCTCTTGGACATAGTGGTAACCAAGATGAGGCTGCCCGAGGAGCAAAGCCCAGCCCAGTTATTCCCATCTCACCTGAACCCAATAGGCAAAGGTCATTCTGCCCTTAGTTGGCAGCTTTTGTCCGCCAAAAAGCATATGTGGGGTCTTCAGGCCCAGGCCTCATTAGCTCTGGCCAAGATGTTGAGGCCTCAGCCCAGAATCCTGGCTCTCCTGGGGGCCAGTGGAAGGCCTGCTTCCAGGCCAGACCAGCAAGGCTGAGGGTGGCCACCAGGGGGCGCTCCAGCCCAGCCTTTGCACATAGCTGCCCCTCCAACAGCTGATCAGGTGTGTAGAGGTCTCATACCACCTGTTTCATATCATGCTATTTTTGTGCACTCTGCCTTATCCCCAGAGGATGTAAGATTCCTTCTGGAGGTTCTTTTGCTCACCCCTACTCACTGGACGTACAAACGCTATGGGTTCCTGCCTGCTTCTTCTCATCTGAGGTCATAGGAGGTCCAGGGTGAGGCCCCAGGCCCATGTGGCAGGACCCAGCTCATCTCCTGAGGAGGTCCATGTTGTGGTGGAGACCCACCCACTCTGTCCTTGGGGAAGCAAAAGAGTTTTGTTGGAGTTCCTCCTGGGGAACAAGATAGGAGCAGGACTGAGATATAGACAAGTATTGTGAACAGAAAGCTTAATGAAAGCGTGAAGTCTGAAGGCAAACCAGAAATATGAGTTCAGCCTGATTCACAGCACATGCAGAGTGAGTAAGTGAGGGTCAGAGACAAGGACCCCCAAAGGTAGCCATCAGCACCCCCTGATCAACAATCCAGGCGGGACATGCAGAATGGATCCAGCCGACTCACGTGTAGGACTCAAAATCTCCATTGCTTATGGCTTCAATCAGCTGTTCTGTCACTTTTATAATTTCTTGTTTCCGCACTGTAAGGCAGGAGGGAACACAGAGAAATAATAGCGATAGTGATTGGGATGCAGCACCAACCACAGCTTCCTGAGCCCCTAACATGCGCCAGACCCTGTCCTGGCACCTGAGGGCCTCAGAGAGATTGTCTCGTTTATCCTCACACTGTCCCTAGGTATCATTACTCCCATTTCATGGAAGAAGAAACTGAGGCCCAGAAAGGTGAAAAAAAAAGTGTGAAATTTCCCTCAACTACAATGGGCAGAGCCAGTGTCTTAGTTGGCAGCCTCTGCCTCCAAACAGCATGCATGATTCTGGCTCTAGGCCTGATTTGAACCCAGGTCTCGATTCCAAAATATGCTTCTCCATTACCTTGTTTTGCCACCTGAATCCAACCAAGCAAGGTCACCTGTGGAGGTTGTCACCAGCAACCACAAACCAGGTGCTCCCCCATGGTCCAAACTGGGGCCACTAAGGGTGGGCTTAGGGCTTACTCATCCCTTAGGTCTGAGTCAGTTTTTGTTCCATTTGGGTGCCTATAGGAATCAGGCACTGAGCCTTCCAGAACTTTCTAGGTAGAATGAATCCCAGTTGCTGACACCTGGCTTCCCCTGTCCACCACTGAAACACCACGAACAGCTGCTGTCTTCCTGGCAGAGAATTAGACATCAGTTTTCTTATCAGGTGTGTGATGTTCTGAGCCCTAGTTTTCCCATCTGTAAAATGGGGACACCATCACCTCTCATACGTTCAGTGCTGAACAAGTTGTGTAAAGAACCCAGGCTTCAGTACCAGACAGGCTTCTTCTAAATCCCAGCCCAGGTCTTTACAAGCTGTGCAACCGTGGGGCACAAGGTTGTTTTCTGGTCCATCGTATGGAGATGACAATGCCCTCGTCCCGGAGTTGTTATGAGCATGGGATGAGATGATGTGCCTGAGGCACTTGGACCAGAGCCTGGCACACAGTAGGTATACACTGTAAGTGCTGCCTCCTGTATCCTCCCACACTCATTACTGCATCTGCTCCTCACAGCCTGGGGGGTAGGGGGAGGCAAGGCCAGTTTCCCCCCATCTGACACATGAGGAGACCGAGCCTCAGCAATGAAGGAATTTGAAGCCAAATGTTCTGGATCCCAGCAGGGCTATCCTCCCAGAAGCCTCAGGCGTGTTTCCCAGGGCCAGGCCTGCTTCCCTTTCTCCCACAGGCTCAAGCTTAACCTCCAAGCCGGTCAGTGAGCTGGCCTGCTGGAGCAGCCTCAGGTGAGATGGGTGGACATGTTGCCCATTTCTCAGGCTGGGAGCATGGGAGGGAGACGGCTCCTGGAGGAGGCCTTGTCCCTGCCCCTTTCCTCACCAACTGCAGGTGCCATCCCATCCCCCCTCACACTGGGGAGCTCACCTCAGGCCCAGAGGATAAAGAATCACAGGACACCCAGGCCACAAGAACTCTTGGGGACCAGGGACACAGCCTGCTTATCCAACATTGGGGAAACAGAAGCTTGGTAAGGGGTGTGACTTGCCCAAGGACATAGAACATTTTGGGTGCAGAGTTTGGCTCCCAGCCCAGGGCCTTTTCCACAGGACCCAGGAGCTCCAACGCGTTCCATGATGCGTTGGGCCCACATGCTTGTCTCTTCCCCAGCTCAAATGTGAGCTCCGTGGAGGCTCGCTGATCCCTGGAACCTGAAGCGGGCCTGGCCAGGCATTCATTATGGAGTGAGTGACTGCGCAAGTGCTCAAGCCGCGAATCTTTGAAGCCTCCCAGCACAATTTCATGTGGTTCTCACCTCCCGGTCAGAGACAAGCTCCAGTCACCGTGGAGGCAAAAGGTGAAATAGTCTGCTCCAGTGGACCAACCGCCCCGAGCAGACTGTGCAGCTCCAAAGCCCATCTCCCTCTCCCCGCACCACCTGCCCCCTCAGGGCGGGGCCCGGTGCCCAGCGCAGCTCTTAGCACGTGGTGGGTACTCAGTAGACGTAACATCACTGAAGTTACTATCTCCAATATCAGTCACCACAGTGAGCTGCTAATTCTTTATCTCCTGGCTCTGCAAAGAATCACCAGGGCTGGGAACGGGTCCGTCTTAGACCATGAGGTCAGCCGGGTGGCTCTGGGGTCTTGCCTGGGGCTGAGGCGGAGGCAGCTTGAATGAATGAACGAGCAGATGGACCAAATCAGGGTCTGGGGCTGCTGGCCTTGCCCTGTTCCCTGGAATTGCCCAAGTTGCCTTGTGGCCTCTGTCCCTAGGAGCCCAACAGCCCGGCCTCCTGGTCAACTCTGACCTCCTTCGTGGAAGCTGGGGATTGAGGATGGGGAGAAACCCACCTCCACCAGGAGACACCTCGTTCCAGCTGCTCCCACATGAAATCAGGGTGATGATCCAGAGCGAATCCACATGCTTTAAGAACCATCCACGGCTTTAAGAACCCTTCCCACTTGACATTCCACGAGCCCGTGCTTAATGCCCTGTCTCCCGTGGGCCGCTTCTCACCACCATCTCAGAGAGGCTAGTCAAGTGGTCAAGGGCATGGGTTCTGGAGCCAGACCCCCTGAGTTTGGATCCTGGCTCTGCTGCTTAGTAACTGTGTCCCCTTGGGCAAGATATTTGCTCCTACCTCAGTTTCCCATATGTATAATGGAGCTACTAATAGTACTTACCTCATAGGGTGGTTCTGAGGATTGAGTTAAGAATATATCAATAAAAATAACTAACACACATATGGTCCTCACTCAGAACCAGCTACTGTTCCAAGCCCTTTATATCGACTCACTTATGTAAATAATGATGCATTATGTAAAGCACTGAGAGCAGTGCCTGACACTCCATAAGCAAGCGCTGTGATTATCATCACTGGAAAGCTCTGAATTGGAAGTTCTCCCTGAGGACAGTCTCTAGCCTCTAACCTGGGCAGGGACACTTCCCAGCAGCCTGATATATGATGGTTCAGTTTTGGCTGGAACTTTGGGGCTTGCAGCCTGCCAGGTAGGCCACCGCACTGCTGGACAGCTTTTGCCATTTGCATCCACCTCCTTCTTTCAAGTTGCAGTCTCCCCATAAAAGCCCCTAGTTATAGCTCTGGTCTGCCTCCCGGGATCCTTCAGCGTGTACCTGCTTCTCCAGACTCTGTGCCTTCCCCCACCAGTCTTTTCTTCTCAGGGCTGAAGGCCTCCCGCATCTGGTTTGCAGGATCTGGCTCAAGATGGCCATCTATTTTCGAGGGTACTTAAGCTGTTTAGTTGCCTCTCTGAGTGTGTGCACACTATCCCTGATGTGGCTTGAATATTGCAGAATATCAGGTCTAGGGTAGCACTCTCTATCCCCTCCCCAATTCTGGACACTACACCTCTATTAATGCAGCCTGAGACAGTGCCTAACTTGGCCTCCAGCCACTCAGGACACCAAGTCTGCCAACAATCGAAGCATAGCAGGCGGGACTCTCCCTAGCTTCATTCTCTGGAACCAAAGATCTGGGGGTCTGGTGCTCCTTAAATCTGGAGAAATTCACTCCGGTTCTGAGGCCCTCCCATGCCCTTGGCAGACCTATTGCTCTACGAAAGATTCATCCAGCAGCTGCTCAGTGGCACCCTCTGGCATTTCTCATGTGCCAGGTGTTCACCCAGACAACCAGGAGGGCTCCGCTATAGATGGGAAAGCTGAAGCTCCAGAGAGGTTAAGGCACTTTCTCAAGGTCACACAGTATGAGGAGGCTGAGATGGGATCAGCATTCCTGACTGATATTTCCCAGAATGTCTCTGCCCAGATTCTAAGGCAGCTCTTTGGGTTGGAGAGGAAATTGAATTTTCAAGGAGCTGACCAGGAGGAGATAGGGCAGTGGGGAGGATGTCTGGCAGAACCCCGTGCAGCTCAGAGGGTGAGAGGCCTGTGTATTAAGCCTGAGGGGCTCTGAAATATTAATGTCCCTTTCTTTGCTGAGGGGAAAATGTTCCCTGGAGGATGACATTTCTAATTAACTTTAATGTTAGGTCAGAATCCACCCCACCAGCTGCTATTTCTCACTTAGTAAGAAGACTTAACAAATTAACACCAGAAAATGGTTCTCTGGAAACTTTCTCTGAGGCCTGGAGAAGCTGGGGGAGGCAGAGTTCCTCTCTCCTGCCAAACAGGGGGAGGAGCTCCTGGCTGAGCCAACAACTCTTCCATCAGACATGGCCTTTTACATGTGTGGAAACTGAGGCAGGGAACGGGGTCCCAGTTTTACCATTAATAACACTGACATGCCCTTTCTCTTCTCTAGGCCTCAGCCTCCCCTCTTTATTTTATTTTTAAATTAAATTTTATTTTTTTTGGCTATGCTGCACAGCATGTGGGATCTTAGTTCCCCGACCAGGGATCAAACCCGTGCCCCCTGCAGTGGAAGCGCAGAGTCTTAACCACTGGACCGCCATGGAAGTCCCATCCTCCTCTCTTTAAAAGGGGCATGAGTGAACTAAAATTCAAGACTTCGCAAATGTTCCCATCCTGATATCTCTAAAGCAGAGGATAATGATTGTAAATGTCAGGCCTCAGGGATGTAACCCAGAGCCGTTACCCCAGGTGGAAAATGTCTTTAACGGGTCACATTTTACATTAATAGCGCACGCAAATTTTACATTCTATTCCAAACATTTCTCTGTCTGTTGACCATGTAAATATTTGTCTTAAAATAATCTTTGAGTAAAACTGACACTCCAAGAAAACGTCATATGGCTTCCTGTCATTCAACCATAAGCTCCAGTTTGAAAGAAGAGAAATTAAGATTTATTAAACAGTGGCCATATGCCAAACACTGTGTAGGCACTTTAGACACAGCCTCTCATCTTATCCGCACAGCAATCCTCTGAGCTTGATACTATTATCATCTCTTTACTGTTAAGGAAACCGAGGCTCAGAGAGGTTCAGTAAGTTGTCTAAGGTCACCCAGCAGATGGACTCCAATGAAGAATCACAGAGCCAGTTTACCTCCACAGACCCTGTCTGCTCTGAGACCAGGATTATGAGGCCACAACAAGTCTCCTCAAAAATCCCAGCACCTTACAATGAGCCTCAAATATGGTGAATGTCTCAGAAACAACCTATCTCGGCCCACCACAAACCTACGAAATCAGATTCCACTGGAGCAGGGCCAGGAATATGGTTAAAAATCATACTTGAGGGACTTAGAATGCTGACCTGATCCCAAGGGAATTTTTTGGCTGCACTGCACAGCACGTGGGATCTTAGTTCCCCGACCAGGGATCAAACCCGTGCCCCCTGCAGTGGAAGCGCAGAGTCTTAACCACTGGACCGCCATGGAAGTCCCATCCTCCTCTCTTTAAAAGGGGCATGAGTGAACTAAAATTCAAGACTTCGCAAATGTTCCCATCCTGATATCTCTAAAGCAGAGGATAATGATTGTAAATGTCAGGCCTCAGGGATGTAACCCAGAGCCGTTACCCCAGGTGGAAAATGTCTTTAACGGGTCACATTTTACATTAATAGCGCACGCAAATTTTACATTCTATTCCAAACATTTCTCTGTCTGTTGACCATGTAAATATTTGTCTTAAAATAATCTTTGAGTAAAACTGACACTCCAAGAAAACGTCATATGGCTTCCTGTCATTCAACCATAAGCTCCAGTTTGAAAGAAGAGAAATTAAGATTTATTAAACAGTGGCCATATGCCAAACACTGTGTAGGCACTTTAGACACAGCCTCTCATCTTATCCGCACAGCAATCCTCTGAGCTTGATACTATTATCATCTCTTTACTGTTAAGGAAACCGAGGCTCAGAGAGGTTCAGTAAGTTGTCTAAGGTCACCCAGCAGATGGACTCCAATGAAGAATCACAGAGCCAGTTTACCTCCACAGACCCTGTCTGCTCTGAGACCAGGATTATGAGGCCACAACAAGTCTCCTCAAAAATCCCAGCACCTTACAATGAGCCTCAAATATGGTGAATGTCTCAGAAACAACCTATCTCGGCCCACCACAAACCTACGAAATCAGATTCCACTGGAGCAGGGCCAGGAATATGGTTAAAAATCATACTTGAGGGACTTAGAATGCTGACCTGATCCCAAGGGAATTCTTCGAGATAATGCATTCTGAAGGTTGTCCCTGGTGCTTTCATAGACGCTTGATTTGCTCTAGCACCAGGCTATGGTGATGGAGTGACCATCTCCTGCCCCTGCTTTGCCCCAGCTGGGAATGACCAGAGAGGGACACACTCTAGGGTGGGGCTGGTCTTCCAAATATCGTGGCAGAGTCAGGAGGCAGTCAACGGCGTTTAGTGTGTCAAAACTGCCTTAAATCAGCCTGAACGGCAACTGTGCAAAAATATTTATTACACAATAAAATGCTCTTGTCCCCATCATTGTATATTCTTTTAGAAGCAAATCATCTAAACTCCTGAAAATATCTCAGCTGGCACAGCTGTGATCTCTCCAGGTCAAGGCTGTTTTTCTAGATTTCAGAGACTCCCCAGGCATCTCTGACACACACCTGAGTGTGAGAACCCCCTCCCTTGCCGGTCTCCCTGTCCTGGGGGAAGAAGGGCTGGGTACAGGCAGAACAGCAGGATGTCGCTAACTCGTCCAAGGATCTGGTGTCCCCTGGGCGGAAGCCAGCGCCCCATCCTCCCTCCTCCAAGCTCCAAGCATCTTTCCACATGCCAAGGCCTCCTCAGCTGAGCCAGGCCCTGGAGCCACACTGCCTGGGTTCATATCCTAACTGTCCCCTTTACGAGCTCTGGGACCTTGGGCCAATTTACTCAACCCCTGAGTTTCTGGGCTGTCGGATGGGGTTAATCACAGTACCTACTTCTTAGCTTGTTGTAAAGCTCAGGTGGATATCAAGCACTTGAAACAGGTCTAGCACGCAGCAAGTACCCCATAAAAGGCAGCCATTATTCCTATTACCATCCTATTATTTCCTCTCTTACTATCAGATCACCGTTATCTGGGGTCTTGCTTCCCCTTTCATCTGAGGGCTTGTGAAGACTATTAGCCACTGGCTATAGTAGCCCCCGCATTTTGGGTCGGTCTTAGGCAGTGTTTCCCATATTCCAGTTTGTTGAATTTCCTATTGATATATTTTTGCTTTCCCTTCCTTTACTATAATTACTTCAAGCTTTTAAAATCAACTTGTGTTTTTTTTTTTAAATCCAAAAACACTGCAAAAGGAAAATGTATACTACTATGATACATTTATGACTTGACTATGTTAAATTAATTTTTTCTAATACATGTTAAAGTCAACACATAACTGCTACCATGAGAAAAGTCCATCCAGGCACCTCACACAGGGAAATGGCACCCCACTGTGTACCCAGTCTATAAGGAGCCAAAGCGAGGCTCTTTGTAGAGAAACAGGACACAAAGCTGGCCTTGCGGTCCCTTCAGGCCGGAGACTGTCAGCGAAGGGGGCCTGCCAGGAGGCCCGGGGGCCCAGATGCTGAAGGAAAGACCCCTCCTACCTTTGGTGTCTTCATCCTCAATGGTGGTGTTGGTGCTCTCTGAAGATTCCTGCCAAAGAGAACACGGGAGGTGGTGAGGCCCGCTTGTCAAGCGGGAAGAGGTGTGGTCTGCCTGATGCTGCGGCCCCGTTGCCGTAAGCCTCATGGGCTCTGCCATCCAGATGCTGCACTGAAAACCCTGTCAGACTTCCAAGCCTAAGGAGGGGACGGGCCCAACTAAGCAGGTGGCTGGTGGCTGGCGGCGGGGACAGGCGTGTAAATGAAGGGGTGGATGCGTGGAGAGCCCTGGCCTTTCTGGAAGGGGGTCCTGAGCCCTGTCTGCTTGAGGGAGCAGAGAGGGGGTGTGGAGGGCAGAGAGGCACATGGTGGCCACAGGACGGGGAAGGAGTACACACACTGGCAGGAGAGGAAGAGAGAGACGGGGGGGGAGGCCCAGTGTGACAGAGGCTGGGCTTTTCGGGGGAGAAAAACCACACAACTGAGGGAGACAGCAATGGAATCAGAAGAAGAGGGACGCGGGCCAGCATGCCACCGCAGGAACCCCTAGACGGTGGCAGGGGCTGGTGGCTCCTCTGCCACCGGCAGGCCCTGGGTAGCCTCACAGAAGCTCAAGAAGGGCCTCTACGGCGCCCGCTACTTTGGCCAAACCAAGCCCCCCAGTGGCCACAACTGGCACAAACCAAGTCCTGAGCTGAGTTCCAGAGCAGAGGGCAAGGCGAAGCGAGAAGCCATGGGCTGGATGTGGGATGGGGTTCAAATCGACCTTTGCAGCTGAGGGAGTTCTCAGGTCTGCCATCAGGCTGCTGGCCTGGGTCATGGAGTTGGAGGTGTCAACAGAAACACGCCAACAACACGCACACACAACACACATATTGTCACACGAGGCACACGTACCAAGCACACCCTGAGCACCCTCTCCCCGCCCGGGTTCCCAGTGTAGCCTGCAGGAGCGAGGCAGGAGCGAGGGTTCGAGGCCCAGGATTTACCGGCGTTTGGGAGACGGCAGACACTCACCATTAACTGAACGCTGGAACTGGACTTTCTTTTCTGGAAAAACAAGGAGAAGAGATGGGACAGGAAAAGACACAGCGTGAAAACGGCAGGGAGCAGAGGAACGAACAACAGGGGAGGAGTGGAAGGAGGATGGGCCTCGGGGTCATCCTCTGTGGTCCCTTGCCGGCAGTGGCATCAGGACAAGGAGTCAGGGCCACCAGCAGCAGCCGACCTGGCAGGGCCAGGCCTCTCTCAGCCTAGAGTTCTGGGGCCTCGTGCACAGCTGCCTGAGTCTCAACAATCCAACCACCAAGCTGCGGGCTAAGCCTCTCTTGGATCAGGGCTCCCCCTATGCTAAGTTCAGAGGGAGGAGGCAAATCCTGGGTCTCAGATACCGGGTGCCTAAGGCCTCCAGAATCCAAAGCTCTTGAAGGACAAAAAGGTGCTCGGGTCTGGAGATAAGGCCCAATGTCTCCTCCTAGACTCTTCCTGTGTCTCTGCTGAAAAGACCCCACTCCTAGTTTGGTTGAGTGTCATAGCCACTCAGGAAACTTGTCCAAAATATACATAACCAGGCCCCCTCTAAGGAGTTTGATAACTAGGTCTGGGCTGGGGCCTGGGCATCTTTATTTTAAACAATATCCCCAAGTGATTCCAAAGCAGAGACAGGTGTGGGAGCCACTCCTCTAAGTGGCCTCAGAAGTCCTGCTTGTGCCCACAGCTTCCCAGTGACTGGCCTATTCGGCTCCTTTATGCTGATAGAGAAACTGAGGCAAAGGCAGACACACAGCTGAGCCCAGAATTCGAGTCTTTGGGCCCTGCCATTCAGCCTATTCTAGCTTTGGGGGGATTTGTCATTTCCCCTGTATAATCAACTGTGGAACCAAGGGAAGGAGAGAGGAACATGCAGACTACCTTCTCCTTCTTTCAGCTCTAAGCCTGGAGTCTTAAAGACTCAAACTCATAGAAGGTTACAGGCCAAGACTGACACTTGCATTGAGCAGACAAGATCCTGGGGTCCAGAGATGGGCAGCGATCCACCCAAGGTCGCTCAGCTAGCTTCTAGCAAAGAAGAGGCTGGAACCCCCAGTGCAGGCCCTCTCCTCTGTCCAGGTCTCTAGGTACCCACAGCCTGATGGCTCTTCAAAGGCTTATCCCGGAAGCACTTACATCTGAGAGGCCAGGAGGCTCTCCCCTTGCTGCTCTGTGTGGGCAGCAGAGGGGAGACCTGAGATGCCCTCCGGGTAGGCCTTTGCCAGTGGGAGGCACTGGCTATTCTCCAAGTGTCCTCAGGTCTAAGTCTGGGCTTTCTGACTCCAAGATCCAGGAGCCTCTGAGCGCCAGGATTCTTAGATCCTATCCTGTCCTCTCCATCCAGGGCCTCTGCATGGAGGTGGCTCACTGGGCATTTCCAGTGTAAGTGCTCACAGCCCCTGCCTCTGCCCCAGCTGGTCCGGGCAGTGTGACTCCTGCAAGGCAGCAGCCTGCAGCCAGCCCCTCCTTCCCTGCCCTGTCCTCCTAGTGTTGGCCTCACTCCTGGCTGGAGCCAGGCCAGGCACAGTGTGTGTTGGAGGGGACAGGCCCACACAGCTCGGCTGTCAGCGGAAACTCGAGGAGCAGCATGAGGGCCAGGAGGTTCCAGGCGGGACACGAGGAGGCAACACAGAGCAGAGACTGCATCAAATTCGGACGCACAGTGACAGGATGGGACATGGGGGAGAGGGGTCATGACGCACGGATGGGACACCAACAGGGGGCAGTGAGTGGGGTTGAGGGGTGGGAGCGGTCAGCCCCTCTTCACGAAAGTAGAGGCCTAGGAGTGGCTGGGACCGGGGGCATCGCTTCTTGGTAATAGAAAGACTCGATTTTCCTGAATCACAAAATGATGATACTAATAATAACCCTACACCGACCAGCATGTTAGTTTCATTTAAAAAGTGAACTGTCACCAAAAGTAGAGTCACATCTCTTAGAACCACGTGAAGAACGTGGTTCTAAGGTTGGCAGGGATGGTAGAAACAGAGGATGGTCAAAGTTAGCCTTGAAAAGCCCTTAAAAGCCCGCAAAGTACAGTATTGTGTCCTATCTTGAACTCCAACCCGCCAGGTTTTCCTCCAGCGTTGGAACCGATCACTGCTTCTTCAGTTATGCCCCAGGTGGAATCAGTGGTTTGTCTCTAGGGACCAAGTTGTAGTTCCTGCTTTGGCCGAGCACATGTTGGCTACGGGAGCATCACGATGCGACTCCACCACGCCCGCCCCGGTGGGAGCCTCTCACCAGCCTCCCTGAAAACAGCTCTTTTCCTCTTGCACAGATGACGGAACTGATGGCCCAGGTCCCCAAGGGAGGGAACAGTGGGGCCCAGGCTCAAACCCCTGGCTTCTTGACTTGAGGTCCAGTTTCAGTCATAGTAAAAACATGAATGGACCTCCCTCCTCTTGCAGGCCGGGCTCCCCAAATCCTGGGCAAATCCCCCTGGGTTACTCCCGTCTTCCGGCTGGAGGTCCCCGCTCCTCCATCCCAAGGAAGGGGAGGAGGTTGAGCTGCAGAGAAAGGGTCGGGCCAGGAATAGCCTTTGAGTGTCTCTTCCTCCACACCCAGGCCACCCTGAGAAGTCACTCAGGGTCTGTCCTGCCCCTACAGGAAGCAGCAGCAGTTTCTTCAGCTGTGCCCACTGGAAGGCCCTGCAGTGACCAGCCAGAGCCCCGCCACGCTACGAGATGCCCTTGCCCTCAGACAGCCTCTGCCTCCTGGCCTTGCCCAGAGAGGAGCCAGACAAGAGCTTCGTCCCACGACCCGGCCTGAGGGAGGCCCTGACCAGGGGCAGAGGGCGGCAGCCCTCCCGCAGCCCCTCCTCCTCCACCTACCTGGGCCCCAGCCCACTAGCACCTGTGGCCTCTGCCCCATATCCCCCAAATATGATTTTCCCCAGGGGACCCAGTACCCCCAGTGTCTACACACTAGGGCCAGATTGAGCCCCAGCTGCTCCAAACCTGCCCCCTCCCCCACAAGTTACACATCCCTCCATCACACTTTCAAATTGGGAGGGGAGGGGGGTGACTCATGGGTAACCCAAAACAGCAGGTAAGCCAAAACTCAATTCTGGATTCCATTACAGCATTCGGGATGGATGTGTGTTAACTGTATAAATTGGGCTGGCTTTAGATCTGTGTTTTCCAAGTATTTTCTTGAGCAAACTTCAAGAGAAATCTTACCCGAAACTCCAACACATAAAGCAGAAAAGATAACACTACCAACTAGCATCTCATGAGCGTGTATCGCACGCCAGCACCATGCTAAGTCCTCAATACACAGTATCTTAGTTCATCCTCACAGACAGCCCTGGGAGGTGGGAAACCCTGCTCACCCATTGCTTGAATGAGGAAACACAGGCTCAAGAGATTCAAATAATGGGCTGTAAGCTCACCCAGGCTCTCTCAGCCACTGCGATGGCTGGTCCACGGAGCTGTTCTGGCTGAAGTGGGTGTGAGAAGCCCCAAATCCTCTCTGCTTGGCCTCCCCCTTCCAACCCCTCCCCATCTGCTGCCAGAGGTACCTCCTCAGAACCTTTGGGCTCCAAGGAGTTCCATTTGTAAACCACTGGCTTTGACTGATAACCAAATAATTACATATTCCTCAAGCACCCAAGATGAAAAGGGAAAATGATTTTTTCTTGTTTGTTTGTTTTTAAAGTTGAAATCTTGGAAATCATGGAGTTCACAGCCCTCCCCCCTCCCACTGTACCTATGGGGAAACTCAAGCCCCCAGAGGGCCAAGGGCAGAGAGGAGGGCCATATCCTGGCCTCAGGCAGACAGCCCAGATCCCCTCCCATGCCACCCCCGGCAGACCAAAGCCAGGGGCCTGAGACCCGAAATGCCACTACAAACCAAGCCATGAAGCCACCAGCCCACCTGGGTGGCTGTGTTTGGAAAGCATCCCACACCTTCCAGTGCCCTGGGCACAGCCCAGCCCTGGGGCCCTGGCCAGGCAGGGCTCTGAGCCCAGAAAAAGGCAGGGTCTCGAGAGAGGAGAATCCACAAGGCGAGCCAGTGGCAGGGGAGGAGGGAGCTGCAGAGAGTAGGGAACCAGGCAGAAAGTGGGGGACAAGGCCCCAGAGAGCAGAGGGAGAAGAGAGAGGAGGGAGGGAGGGGTCAGTGGAGTGTGGAGGAAAGCAGCTCGGGCATCAGGGGTGGGGACAGGGCAGGCCTGGGTCGGGGAGAGGAGGGGATTCTGAGCACTGAACCGGCAGGCCTTGATGGGGATGGGTACCTCTGGGTGTCAAAGCCAAGAGGATTGGCTGTCCATCCCCTGCAGGCTTTGTAGGCTGGACTGGGGCGTGCACTGGGTCAGGGGCCCATTCCAGCCAGCCTACACTCGGGAAGGAGGAGGTCACCCCTCATGACATCTCTGTCCCTTCTTTGCACCCACTCACTCACCAGTCCTCCAGAACCGCAGAAATCTCCTTTGGCCGGCCCTCATGCCCACCCCAACCCCGGGCCACCTGCCTCTCCCACCCTCTTTCAACCCTCCCCTCCCCCGCCTGCCCCCCACCAATCCTGGTGGGAGGGTGGGCACCGTAGCCCAGGTCTGGGTCTGGGGATGCCAGGCTGCACGGGTGAGCACATCTGCCCAGAACACCATCGGCAAGGCCTGGCTCTTGTCCCAGCCCTGCAAGCCGGGCCCTGCGGGCGGAAACGCTGTCAGAGGCAGACCCTGCCGGGCTGGCCGGGACTTACCTTCACACCATCATTCTTCTTGTTTCCTCCACTCTTCCCGCCTGCAGAGGAGAAAAAGTAGAGGGTTACCAACACCAGGCAGGGCACCAGGGCCCACAGGGCGAGGAAGAGCAACATCCACGGGCAGCGGAGGGCACAGAGCCGGAGCAGCGACGTGGGGAGACCTCCTCCCCTCCCTCCTCTTCCTTCCTGGGCGGCCCTGGGTCTGCCGGTGGCCCGCTGGGTGGGAGCGGGCCTGGGTTCTCAGCAATCTCAAATGTAACCCTCTGGCTCCATGGGTTGAGGGAGGTGCCCAAGGTGTCCCAGGTCCGTGGGATTGCTGTTTCAGTCTGGGGATTCCCTCCAGATCCTGGTCACCACCCGTGCTAGGGGTGGCCAACCCGGAGGCCCGGCTGCCCAGCCCGGGGCTGGACGCTCCCTCCCAGCCCCGGCTCGCTCTAATTTTAGCCCCATGCTGCTGCGGAGGTCATGTGTCAGCCCTGCCTACTCACTCTGGACAGCTGCGAAGCTGCATTTTGCTGGTGATAAGAAGCAGATGCCCCCGCTCTGGGGCCCACCCCTGCCAGAGCACCCATCCCCTGCAGAGGCCTCCCTACCCTCAAACTCCAGAGCCCCACACTAGGGCTGGCTGTGTCCCTGGTGGCTGGGAAAAGCAGAGCAACAGCTCTCAGGGAGGCCCCACCTGTCATTTCCCATTCCCTTCCTTCTCACCTCTTGGTCAGAGCCCTTGGAGAGGGCATCAGTCATGAAATGGGATCAATGACCAGGCCTGTGCAGCCTGACATCTGGCTTCTTCAAACCTCAAGCAAATGGCCTTAAGTTAAAGCAGACATTATCTATAAAGTGCTTAGCACAGCACTTGATGTGTATGCAGTAGATGCTCAGTAAACGGTAGCCACTGTAAGTCCTTTTCCTGGTGGCCTGGAGAGAGCGAGCTGAGGAGGAGGGGTGGTACTGGACATTGATGCCCCAGAGGCTTGGAGGGTTGGGGCTCATGGCTGCTCCAGCTCCCCAGTCATCCTCACATTTCCACCTATGACCCCTCTCAGGCTCTCATGCAACTTTTCCCTATTGCAAAATTTCCCTCTTGCAAAGCAAGGCAGTGGCGGGGCCGGGGGAGTACCTCTGGATCCCAAAGCCGAGAGGAATGGCCAGCCATCATCATGGGCTTTGTGAGCTAGACCAGGATGCACAGCAGCAGGGAGAGGACTTGCCCCACAAGCCTCCAAGGAGGCCCCTCTCAGCTCCAGCCCACTATTACAGGACTGTGGGTCCCGTGAAGCCATATATTCTGATTTTCAAGAGAAGTCAGAAATCTGGGATTTTCTATGAAATCTCCTGGTTTTTAACTGCTGGAAACTCTTCCCAGAAAAAAATTTTTAAACACCACTGGTGCCCCCAAGCACATAGAGAGAGAGAGAGCGAGAGAGAGAGAGAGAGAGAGAGAGAGAGAGAGAGAG